TGCTGCTCCGAGTCCACTACATTGGTGATATATAACATTCCCGACACACGCACGGACAAACAGCTGTGTTAAAGAGGCCAAACAATTCTCTCTACCACTGTTCACTCGACTGCTAAATATTAATTCAAGAATATCATAGTGGTATGGTCAACTTACTTGATTCAAACCGACAGGTTTTGCGATACATATCACCATGTGTTCTGTTGAAATTATTTCGCCATTTGGAACAAGTAAGCGAATCCGGTTGGCTTCTGAGTAGGTTTTCCACTGCACCGGATATTCGTCCTTATCCAACCACATTTCTATCCCATGCAAACCGGTGGACAATGCCAATTTCGATTTTCCCGACAGAATGGGAAAAATCATTAGTTCCGGTTTCGACATGCCACTATCGTAGATTGTACAAGTCATTACTTGATTTGGAATCAGTTCGATGACACCAATCTTTTTATCAGATACCCATCTGTTGGGCGTTGGATCGATTCGAATGACTGATTCTTCGGATGAAACACAAATCCGNCCGGACTGGACGGGAGCGTGTGACAAGATGGCTCTGTCGCACTTCATCAAACTGATTATTCAACCAGTTGAGAAATTTCACCCCGTCTGGCGGCGTTTGGGTAACGCTGGGTTTGGCATGACACGTCAAATAAGCACCATCGTATTCTTGCTTTAAAGGAAGACTCCAAAACTTTTCAACCGTTGTTTGTTCCACAGATCCAGGAAGCTGAAGAGGACGTATTCTGATAATTGGAGTTGTGATCTCGAGGACGTATCTTTGTCCTCCACTCGTAATAAGGTGAATATGTGCCGTTAGATTCGTCTCAATCAGCCTCACACCGTTTGCATCCTGATCAGCTTTTTCACAGAATAGGCGAAAAGCGGTCGCATCACACTTAATCAAAAGGGTTACGTTCGGTGGATGACATACTCCGATTCCTTCACCGGTAGAATTATCGGGAAGGAGACTAGAAACGGTGAGTGTTGGCGATTTGACCGGTGGCATGACACACAGAGGATTTTCTGATCGCTTAGTTATATTCAAGGTTGAGTGTGAGCCGCTTCCTGATAAGAACGTAGTCACACAAATATAAAATCCGTAATCCTCTGGAACGAGGCCAATAACATCTAATGTGTGCGAATCGCTCCACTTTTGTGGTGGATAAATATAACTGCGCTCATCCAGTCCGTCCCTTTTCGATAGAGCTTTTATCATACGAGATTTGGTTGAATAGTGAATAATCTCTTCCCGATTGCCATTTTGTAAATCAGAGATGGATGGGGTTCGAATCCATGTTATGGCGTTTGGTGTGTAGTCCCCCGCCAATGATGAGCTCATCGATGGACACCGTGCCGTAAATACTCCTGGTATCCTGACGGGATTGGGTTCAACAACAACAGTGTGAATCCTTTGCACTTTTTGTGATTTGTCACGTTCCTCCATCACATGTATAGTTTTCAGACGTCCGTGATCCAAATAATTGGCCCACGAAACAATTTTACGGCGATCAGTAGGGCTGTATTCATCCATTGGCCAGTGATCCTGCATTGATCCCATTTGCGTACCCAAAGGTATGGTCTCGCTTGAAATCAGTGTGAATATGTTAGTGAAACGTTCACCGTGGTATGGCTCGCGTGCAATATACTCTGTGTCTGTAGGACCAGTTGGCGTAACTTGTTCCATGATAGGTCTTGTTGACTCATATTCATGATAACTGATGGTTCTTGATTTGTGGTCATAAATCCACGGAGATATAAATTGAACAGGTTCCGGCTCCGTTTGTGCCAGTGCTCGGTCATCTGTTAACCGGGATGATCTTTCCGTAGAGCGGATATAGTCACCGTAAGACCGATAACCCAACTGTTTCCATAAATCACTCGGTCTGTCTATATGTTCGGAGTCCACCGGGAAGGCATCCCATTTCTTTACCGTAATTCTTTCTTCAGAGCTGAGTTGTGTAGATTTTTGATGCGTGATACTCTCTAGTTGAGATTTCTTCAAATAATCTAATGAGTCGAATCTCTTTTCCGAAATTCGGGATGGTGTGTGGTACCTAGCGAACAAAATCTTACCCTGACCTGAAATTGTAGCCTGGTCTGCATCTGACAATGAGGGGGAATAAGTAGTCGTGTAATCTTTCTTTTCCTCTACATCAGATTTGGTAAACAGGTAAAGTGGCACGTGTCCACGTCTAATTGCCCGTGTTCCATCAACCACTTCCATTCCGTCAGTCCGTAATGAAGGGGGTCCTTTACGACCACCGTGAACCGAACCTTGATCAGCCCACAAAGTGCGAATGAAACCAGAGCCGGAGTCAAATCTCAAATCCTCAAAGGCACCGGCAATGCCGAAACGTTCGACACCTTCGGAGGTATCCGCATCTTGCATAGTCTTCCTTCTCGTTGGATCACTTCTTCGCATCGGGACACCGTCTCTAATACCTGCTTGGTCAATAGCACCTCGTCTCAACGATCGTGTACTTCTGCTTCCATCCGACGGTGATAATAACTCATCCCTACTTTCTCTCTGATCGAAACCATCCGAAGCATCAACATCGAGTTCTCTAGCATAACGCTTGATGTCAGCCACTCCGATCGGGGACTTCCATTGACGTAGTTGGATAGAATCAGGTATCTGAACATTTTTGTCTCTGCCCCACCCCGCACGAACACCAAACGTTTTCTGTGCCGTTTCAGATTGTCCAATATCAATTCCTAACCCAACTCCACTGGCAGTAATCCTTCCATACTTTTCTAAATGGCCTTCGATTCCAACCACTATCTGGGCAGATTGACCCCTGGAATCAACGGGAAAGTTCAACCGATCCAACAAATGAACATTTTCGTCTTGTTGTGTAACAGGTTCACTGGGAAAGGAAACTCTTCTTCGACGATCACCTAATTCCAGTGCAGAGAGGCCGGGTTCGAGAAAAGATAAACCTTCAAATGTCGTCAATCCCTCTTCAGTTTTGAAAGCTCCTCGGAGATCTTTTCGTCTACTACGCATGTGTTTCTCCCTCATATCCTTTCCAATGCGCTGTTCTAATGAAGCCCGTCTTTGTGAAGTCTGAATATCTTCATCTGTATGTGTTCTATCTTCAACTGCTCTCATAAATGTCTTTCTTCTCTGTCGCTCACTGGTTATATCTCTTGACGCATAGCTACCGAATTTATCTTTTGGTTTCACACTACCACTAGAGGAGTCTTTGTTTCGTCTCATTGTATACGATGGAGATATCGAAGCAAAATCCGATACTCTCAAATCTTGTACCGTTTCCTGGTCTGCATCGAAATCACCGGACTCCAACGAGTCGCGGGAGCCAGAACTTGTCATTTCCGCATATTGATCCGATATTATGTCGTCAACTGGAGAGTCATCAAACATTCTCGTTGATAGCGCTGGTCCTCTCCTTCGGGCCCCGATCTCACCAGAATGAGACGTTTCAACCTTACCCCTCAAATTGCTGACCTCTTTCTCTGCCACACTTTGTTCAAACTGTAGATCGCTTGATGTCGGGGTACGTCTACGGACCTCGTCTGTGTACTGATTAACACCTACGGAGTTCACATTATCATCTATCCGTTCTACATCCATCCACGGTTCCGGTTCGGCAGACTCCAAGGCTTTCTTCCTCGAATCCTGCTGAACAGCTAACTTCTTCTTTGCCTCACGTGTTGCAGATTCCAGGACTTCTTCTGTTCTCTGACCCACTTCTGGCACGAATTGCGGTTCTTGATCATGAGGCATCTGTTCAACGTATGCCTGTACTGCCTCACCACTAAAACCTTCTTGCACTGTGTCCAATTCAGCAGCAAGTGAATCTGATCCAACCAGAATGGTAATTTGCATGGTGTTGGACATGAACTTGTTCCCACAGTAGCAAGATGCTGTGCATCGGAACAGATAATTCCCACCTCGTGGTAACACTGAGAGATCAAGCTTTGAACCATTCCTACCGACTTGATCTGTTGGAAATCGGTCACGTTCG